GTCTTTGATCCGCACTGTGAGCGAATCCAGTTATGGAATACTCGAATCCAGGTCCAAGATATCCTACGCTAGTAACGTGACCCAAATTGAAAGATAGGTATATCTATAAATCTGAAGATGGTCGAAAACGCGTACAAACCAACTTTCAAGTGGGTTCCCGTTCCTTAGGAATGGAACCCAAAGGAACGAGAATGCTGGCACCCCTATGTACAGTGTACTGGAAAAGAATAGTATTTTAGAAGATTTCGAAAATTGAAACGAAATCGAAACCTATTTTGGGATGTCACAAAAACCTGCGAAACCTTCTGAAGGTTTTGTAAAGCTCTATGTTACCTAAAAAAATTTGGTTGTTCGTAGAAAACCTTAAAAAGGTTTTGATTCCGTTTCCATTATCGGAACTATTTTAAGTTCCGTACCGTGCCTTTTTTTGTTTTCAAAGTGGACTGTGACGGTGCATGTGCATGTGTACAGAGAGAACCCACGTAAAAAAAAAGAAACAGAAAAATCAACAGATTTATGATTTTAATCGATTTCAGGTATAATTAATCGATGAACATCAATGAATTGTGATTTTATTCGATTAAATAGAAGCTTATAATCGATTTATTTAGATTGTGGAAATGATCCTGATGTTAATTTTATACGTGATGTTAAAGTTTCATCACAAAAACATGATTCAGCTTTATATTTAATTCGTTTAACAATTAAAAATTCTAAAACAAAATCAATTAAATATGAATATAAAGAAATAATATCTTCAGCTAAATTTACAATAACTCCTCAAAATGATATTCAACAATTAAATAATAATATTCAATTAATTAGTGAAGGTTTTCAAATACTTAATCAAGAATTAAAAGCAAATAGTGAACAAACTTTTCAATATGAAGTTTTACTTGAATATAGAAACACTCAAGAACAATGTTCAACAGTTTATCAAAATGATGCTGATTAATTTTGTTTGTTCTTTTTTTCGTATTATCATTATCCGGATATTCAATAGATATTTTTAGTTTTATTTAGAATACTAATCATTTGCATTTTACCCTATGCTTCATTCCATTTACGCATTTTTTTAAAAATTTTCTGCAATAAAAATTCTTTGTATTTAATCAATGAACAATTTTTATTTTTTATCTTATTTTATCAATAGATATTCTACTTTTAGAAAAATAATATTAATCATATTCAAGTCAATTAATAACTATCATTTTCAAACAAACAAACAAATTAATTAAATATCATTTATCAACAACAGAACACTATTTAATCATAGTTTTTCATAACTTTTTTATAGAATTCGCTGAACGCTATTAGAAAAATCTACTAAAACTCAATGAACATCTATATTAAATGATTATGAAAAAAAGAAATCGTATGCAACAATTAATTTGTGTTTATCTAACATATTTTGTAAATAGATAACTGATTGATTATTTGAATTGATGCACGATATAAGTAGATGACATTGCTAATTTGTTTGTTTGATAATAATACTTATTAAAAAACCAACAAAAAATTCTTATTTAATAAAACTAAAGAATGTATTTATTATATTACTTGAATAGATTTAATGTAAGATATTATTCTTATTGAGAAAATAAATAGTATTTATTATCGATAAATTATTTAATGAGTTTTCATCGAAACAGTTTTCAAATGATATTATTATAAATACGAAGAATCTTTTAAATATTATCTATGAAAACATTTCTCTTATAGTTATTTAATAATTAAAGAGAAATAAATTCAAACAAAAATATACTTGTTAAATTAAACAAGAGAATTTTTTTCCACAATAACTATAATTAACTAAATATTATATTAATTTACTAAAATTTTTTCATACAAATGACTCATGTCTCACAGTATATTCAGTAGAAAAAAAAAGAAAAAACAAACAAACAATCGAATAATATTGATGAGATCGATAAATATGTATTCGAGAAAACAAAATCATAGAATAAATATATAGTGACACTCAAAATTGTTCGTACACCTAACCAATGGGGTAAAATACATTGACCTCGCAGTATTTTCTTTGTAAGTTTTTTTCTCTTCAACGAAAAGACATAATTGTTTCAATGGAAAAATTTGCCGTGAAATTCTCTACAAACTGGTCTATTTCACTTTGATTAAATACCTTTCATCATATTTTAAAATGAAATGAATTTGTTAAGAAACGGCAGATGAGAAAAAACTAGTTGTTTTTTGAAAGTAGTGACCATCTTGTCAAGCAAATTCATTTCATTTTAAAGCACGATGAAAGGTATTTAATCGAAGTGAAATAGACCAGTTTATAGAGAATTGCATGGCGAGTCTTTCCTTTAAAACAATAATATCCTTTCGTTGAAAAGAAAAAAGTTACAGAGAAAATACTGAGAGATCAATGTATTTTACCCCATTCGTTAGATGTACGAACAATTTCGAGCCAAATCAAAGGACCTCATTTTTACTATTTTTAATCTAGCACAACAAATATAGGACTCAGAGAGCTGAAACTTTCAGCAAAAAATCTATGACAACCTGACTATATCTTGGCAACAACCACACCTCTATATCTTGAACTCATCTTGAGATATTAACGAGACAAGATCATTTGCCAGATATACGAACAATTTTGAGCGTCACTGTATCTTCATTATTATCGAATGATGTTATGAAATATAAAGAACAAGAAATGAAAAAATCTACAGATCCCAGACGAGTATGATTAAATTAATAAAAAACAAGTATCAGTTTTAGAATTGTTTTATAATTTGAAATTGGTCAAATTATTCGTATGTGCAATGAATATACTGAAAGTGTTTTACATCCGAGTGAAATTAATAGTCAGATAGTAAAGAATACAATTGAAGAATAATATGGAAAAAACATTCAACACATTGCTGTTCCAATTATTCAGGTAAAAGAAAATAAATTAAACAAAAATAGAATAATGAATTGATTTTTTTTTAAGATTCATATTATCAAACATATGAACAACAATCGCAAACAACAATATAAAATGGTCAAATGAATCTTTCACGTGTTCAAACATCTAATGAAACAAATCGACGTCATAATAATAATTATACAAATGGAACATCAACAAAAAAAGATTGAAATTTAAATAGTTCTATTCAAATTGATCATAATATATATGCTAAAGTTGAATTACAACTTGATATGT